GTTTTTATATCTTATTACTTAAAATATTTATCCAAAATATTTCATGTCAAAATCTAAAATTTAAATTTTATTTAATTACTTTGTTAATTATAAGATATATATTTGTGCCAACAAATTTTATAGATTAAAAAATAGATCAAATCCTAAAAATGAAAGTTGGAAAGAGACCAAATTTGTTATAAAAAGAGAGAGTTTGAAAGACCAAATCTATTATAATAATATAAAATATAAAATAGTTTGAGGGACCAAATCCACCTATGAAAATTGAAGTTGGGAGAGAGAGGAGAGTGAATAGTACCTCATTGACGAAAACTTAAAAAAAAAGTTAAGGAAGAAACCATATCCGTTATAAAAATGAAACTACCGAAAGATTTTGTTTAATAATTCTTTTCAAGGACTTTGCTTGTTAATTTATGTAAACAAATGTACCAAATTTGTATTTAACTCTTGGATAAGTTTCCGATGGAGTGATGATATCATTCATTTCAGCCAACGGTCCCACCGTCAACACGAAGAACATACACCCAAATACCAACAAGGACCGCACTCCTCCCCGCTTCTACCGAGAGAGATTAAGCTAAGCTGATTCGATCAATCCACTTCGATTCCTATTGGTCATACTTGTTGTCAATATCTCCAAGTTTCTTCAGATCAAATTGTCTACAAAGATGGGTGGAATTTTCTTCGGTTTCCATCGTCGTCTTAATCCTTCTCTCGCAATAAGCAGGGGCAAAAGATGATTGATGCTTGCGAGTTTTCTAGGGATCGAATGATTATGTTATTGCTTGCTGAAGAACTAGTATTTTTCACACCGCTAAAACCCTAATCGAAGTAGTCACTGCCGATATGCAAAGGTAAGAAAACCCTAATTTTTTTTTTATTTTGCAAAATTGCTGCATTTGACGTACTATTTGTTGTCCGTAGTTGCTTATGCATTATCTTTCGGTTTTCACTGTGAACTTAGGTTCTTTTTCTTTCTCTTCTGGAGTTCCACACCCCCCCCCCCCAAAAAAAAGGCGAGTTGACATTGGATTTCTTAATGTCAAAAGAATTGAATGCCAGATTCATGTGTATATTATTGAAAAGTTAACGCCAACTTAATTTTGTTTCTGCTAATTGCTGCATGCCGACAAGATTGGTCAAGAATTTGAAGTCCATAAAACTGCTGAAGTTGAAAAGTGGAACCCTTTGGCATTGGGGTTTAAGGAGTAGATTTTTTTCTTGGAATAAACGGAGTACATGTCGGTGTCTTTGCTTCACACTCATAATATGATTAGAAACACCCATCACTATTCCAAATGAAAGAAGAAATGAAATATTGTGTAATTGTCCATATTCTTATCTTCTTCAGATGATACATGGATCAACAGTATAGAACAATTTAAATATTTAATTTTTTAAAATTGAATAGAACGACTATATCTTTTTAAATGATAATGAATCTGTTCTTTTCTATTATATCAGTATTTTCTATTTAATTCATATTGGATTAGTCTATAATATTTGAAACTTAGTTTGGTTGGCTCTTCCTTTTGTCTTGTATCTTTGCTTGGGGCATTTTATCTTGAGTTGACAGTGAAGTCGTGGTGTTAGGATAATAGTTTTATTCATGTTAAGTATTGGATGTTGTGGGAAAGTTTTATTGCATAAAAGATGGAGCCTAAATTCTTTTTCAGTCTTCTAATTTTATACATGGCTTTATAGAATATATGGATGATGGAGATAACCCTGGGCATATGCTAGGAGACAATTCAGTTTATTATTGTATTTTGGACGAGTTTCAGCAGCTAATACACTAGGGAAAATGATAAACACATGAGAAAAGGTGTAAGCGGGTACTGTCAAGTTATGCCCAAGCTAAATCTTGAGGTTTTTAGAAAGTACATAGCCTTTGCTAGATTGATGTAGCTGATATTATGCAAATTAAACCAAGTTAAAGGTGGTTAATCATTATCTAGAAGACTTATTGTTTGGTTTTTAAGAGGCGCTGAAGTCTTATTTCACTTTATATTGATAAGAGGTGGTCCTGAAGTTTGAACGCATAATAAATAAGACTGTTTGTTATTGTAAACTGATAAATTTTGAATGTGTGTAATTGTGTATATTACCCCTCAAAATACGTAAATAATTATCAATAAATCTTTTGTAACTATAACGTTCATTTTCAAACAATTTTTTTGGTGCTTAAATAACCATATGAGCTCATAGATAATCCACTTCAGCTTCAAAATCAATATAATCCTATGTTTGTTCTTCATGACAGACAACTACAACCCCATCTAGCTTTACAGTCTCTATCCACATTAAAATTAAAATGCATCAGAGTCCACAAAACCATTGGTGGTAGCCGTACCTACTGATTCAGTGTGGATGCCAAATCTGGAGCACAATGATGTTGGAACCACTAGAAAAGAAATTCTCGAACTTGGGTCCCTTGTAAACCTCATAGCCACGAACAAAGTAATCTCGGAGAGAAAGAGTCATGAAAATGCTAACAAAATTGAACTGAGGTTATCAGATTATAAACAAAATCAATACCAAAATCAAACCCATTGCCTTCAAAGAAACCATAATCACCAAACCAAAACTTGCATTTAAATGAAAGTACGAACCTAGAAGAGCACGAACCACATGAGATCTGTTGGCTGTGTTTTTAGATCAAAGACGAGGATTGAGTGGAGCGATTGAGGTGGAGCAGGGGTTATTGAGGTGATGATGGCACCGATCGATAGAGGGGAAGAGAGAGCACCAATTAGAGAGGGGAGGATAGAATTTGGAACCCTAGGTTTGATTTTGTTTAGGGAACAAGAGGACGGTAAGAGCCTAATAAGAGACGTGTTTACCTCTTGTCCAATAAGAGGACGGTAAGGGGTTTTATTCTCTTATGAAAAAGAAAAAGCCAAACAGGCTGAAACCTCTAACCTCTTATTCAATCCGTTATAAGTGGTGAATAAGATGTTTTTTACAAAAAACAAACACCACCCTATAATTTTTTTTTAAATTAAAAACTAAAAACATCAACCGAAATACATTTTCTCATATTCTTTCTATTTTCTCTCTTCATTTGAAATTTGTAATATGTAATCTTACCCTTATTTTTCTAAGATGTTGCTTCTATCTACCTCTATATTCTCAATGACTACTTCAATGTAGTAACTGTGATATTTGGTATATGCATTTGCAACACCACTCTGTATTATGCACCTCACTGAATTGGTCTTTTTTTGTTGCACAACGCAACCAAACCCATTATATTAGATCTTTAGGCAATTGAGGCTTAGTTATTAGTTGATTACCTTGTGACAACAATTATATTTGATTGGAAATCCCCGTGTATCTTAGTGGGGATTCCAAAACCTCGAACTTCTTGAATAATGTATGTGATATGTGGTTAAACTAAGTGAGAATAACTTTTTAAATGACTTCTTAATGATCTCCTTAGCATCTTCTGGAGCTATGCTGTTACAGTGGTCAAAATTTGAAATAGTAGTCAAGACTGTGATTTGATATAGCGGCTATCATGATGATGGTAAAGCAGTCTATATAATAATTACAATTAATTTATGTATGTATAACTTAAAACATTATATGTATTGAATAAAAATGCATAGTCTCAACTTTCAACATCAAAACATCAACTTAGAACCAGGCTTTGGCCGGGAAAAAATGTTTGGGTGGTTTATAAATTAAAAAATGTGAAGGCTAAACAGAAAAAACAAACTAAAACAATATGAAAGTGATGAACTCACTAACAATTAAAACAATACGAAAGTCTTAGCTGAGTCAATAATAGACTATCCAGAAGCAAACCTGAACTAAAAATTGATACATGCTTTTATAAAACACAATTAAATTTTTTTTGAATAAAACCTACCAATCTACTAAAGAATGATGAACCTACTAACAATTAAAATGCATAAAGAATAACTACTCAGAACTTTGTGGGAAAGAGGGACTGAGAAGTAAAAACCAAGAAAATAGTCGAGTTTTGGAGTAAGCTAGAGTGCAGGACAAATGGCGGTCATATAGCACTGCTCTTAGCAGCAATGGTGATTTGCTCTGCAATTTTGCCGCTGCTATTCTGTCGGTGACCGCGATATGCAATACCACTGCGATAGCACCACTACAGTGGCACGATTGGCAGCATAGTTCTAGAGCCTCTCTGTTTGATATTTTGTTGCATTGCATTGATGATTACAAGTGGAAATTAAATAAATCTAATCACTGGAGGGAGATTTAAAGAGAATAGTAGGATTGCACCTATATCCCTAAATATTGTATGAATAAGTAATTGCTAGAATTTTCTAAATTAATCGTAATTTCTTAGTTTGGCCATGGAAAGTCTTTTATCCATGAAATGCTTGAAGCTTCGTTGATGGTTTATTTATGTGCAAGTACACGATGATAGTTTCATTTTGATCCATCATTCTTTACCATTTATCCTTTAATAATGGTTGATACACCTCGTTTGGGATTAGGGTTTTAATGATGAGAGTTGAGTACTTGAGTTAATATCATTTGATACTCGAACTTTGTGTCAGGCGATACATGGAATTTATTACGTTATGTTATTGTCATGAATCTAGCTTGGTTATTATGTCATATTTTTTACAAATAACCTGATATGTTACCTGATCTGGCTTTCTAAACACCCTTAAATACACCTTTGAATTTCCTCTATTTTACCCCCTTTAATAGTGGGGTTGCACCTGTATCTCTAAATATTGCTTGAATACAATGCTTTGTGATTAACTATAAGATGTGGGATGTAAAGAAATGAGCCACAACCACAACTTTGCATGCGATTGTGATGTGTTTTTAGTCCCTTGACGCCGCAGTATTTCAAGTATTAAGTTTATGAGAGTTGCTCAGTCTCGAGAACGCTATGATATCTAAGCTAGGAAAGGAGAATGCCCTTTAGTTATTTCCGAAGGGTTTGAAGGTCTAGAATGAGAATATTTCTCTCTCTAATTTCAAGCAGTTGCCGAATAATATCTTAGTTATGTAAACTGTTTTATTCTAGCTTCACAAAGAGATCATTTTATGTACTAACTGTTGTATGGACGTAATGTCTATTGACAATGGGTTGCCCAGGATTTGAACCCGGAACTAGTCGGATGGAGTAGATAATTTCCTTGTTAAATAAGTAAAAATTTTCGTAAAATAGTTGACCGCTTCATGCATATTACTCTATTTATTAACATAACAGTTTGAAACGGTGGGGTAGCAAATCAAAATATAAAAACTCTCCAAGTTTAACTCATAACTCCCTTGTTTTTGGGTGTGAAGTAGTGTCAAACCAAAATACGCAACGACCATGGAAATAAATATGAATCAACACGTTCAATAAAGAAATTACTTCTTCCTAGATTATTTTTTTTTCTTACGACACATCCTCTTAGGCAGAAAGACGGATATTCCTTGCTCATTATCAGTCACCAACAATTACTAGTACACCATTATGATTCCTAATATAGGAGTAAAAATAGGGATAAGCRTCCATATGATCCCATAGACCTCTTTTAAGGATTCCAATCTAGAAAAATAATTGATAGCTTGTACTTCTGTTGGATCAATTGCTCGAATGGTATGATCCCTCCGTCACCCCATAATGAAAGGGGTGATCTCGTAGTTCTTGGTCTGTGAAGATGCGTTGTTAGGTGCTCCCTTTTATTCTCCCATTGAGGCCAAACCTAAACCTGTGCTCCAGAGATAGCTCAACCGCTATTCCATCCCCGTTTTCCATTGAGCCTGCCATAAATTAGTGAAACGTTACACATAATATGCCTATCCCCCATCAGTGTATTTTTTATTTTCATATCCGTAATAGTGCGAAATTGGAAAGAAGGAAACT